TGAGCTGGATTGGAGATCCAACCAATCAATTGACATTCATTCAAACCTGATGGCCATTAATGTTTGATTCTATGATGCTCGTTTTCAATCCTAAACCTCGAGCATCTTACTAAAGTAACAGGGGCTTTTGAATGGACACTAAACTCCAGAAAGCAAAGCACTACTGAAACAAAGTACACTACCACAAACAACAAATTAATTTGGAAGGCCCATGCAGTTATTCTCCTGAGTCCTGATAGAATAGAATGCAACAACAGCCATTCCTGGCAGTTGCCACTCTCTTGTAAATCTGCTGTGCAGACATAGCTGTAACTTATAACATACACAGAAGTTGACCTTTGACCAAAAAAAAAAAACAGCCATTGCGCTTTGCCGTCCTGACGAGGTCAATGTGTGAAAGCTAGCTGACGGCCTCTGCAAGACATTCATGTCTGCGGCCATGGCGCCTCCTCCAGTCTGAAATATAAGCAGCAGCAGCTGCAGCCGGAATAATCCATGATTTCATTCGTGAATTTTTGATATCCAGACATATAATTCAAGAAAACCCATTCTCACTTGATCATAATCGTGTCTCTTGCACGTATCTTTAAAGCTGCAGTCTAGATATTGGACAAATGTAGAACCATAACGTAAGCCGTTATATTCCATTCCCGCCCGACATGGTCATTTAGTGGTTTCACAGCTCGAATGATTGAAGCCATATTTGCCAATACTTAACGATGAAGTTACAGGAAGATGGGCCCGGGAAGGGGGGGGGCGGGATTGGTGGTCAACGGTCGCGAGTCAACAGTCTCAAGACTCCGGACTTAAAAGGGCCACTCCTCGTCCTCCCCACCACAGCCCGGGAAGCAGCGGTGGGGTAAAAAAAAAAAAGGGTAAAATATAAAAATTTTCAGTGGTAAATTTAATATACATAAAAATTTTCAGTAGTTTCAAAATATGTAACACGGCAATTCATGTTTTGAACTAAATTGTAAGAGTGATATAATTCATTAAAATTAACAAAGATGGATAAAATGACAAAAATGCCCTGGTATAACTAAACAGAAGACAGTCCAACAAAATCATTTGTTTTATTCTCTAGAGAGAGAGAGAGAATTTGGGGTTAAGGGGTAGAACATATATATTTGTTAAAAATTATGTATACAAAATTTATTTTTAAATTCCAGTAAATCATTTTTTCATTAATTTTAACGGATTCCATCACTTTTACAATTTAATTCAAATCATAAGGTATTATTTTGTACGTTTTGAAATAGCAGGGGGTTTTACTATATATTAAATTTATCACAATGAATTTTTTTATTTTTTACCAAAAAAGGTGGTTTTTTTTTTGCCCCTGCTCTATTATACAAGGTCAATAGAAGAAGAGGAGAGGAGAGTAAAAAGGAATTCAATTGAGAATTGCCAGTACCGTGTAATTAAAGCTTGTAAATTTTAAATGTTACCTGTCAAAATCTTCTTAATTTCACCCAGAAACCGGAAGAGTTTATGATAGGGTCAGCATAACTCAGTCAAAACCTTTGTCAACTTGACGCATATCTTAGAATGTTAAGTTGTTGAAATTACATCCAAATATCCAGTCATCTTAGAAAACATTTTTGTAAGCATGCCAAGTGGTTGGAATTTTAGAAGAAAGAGAATATCAGGGACTCGTAAAAATGCTGATTATTAAGGGGCCTTTTCAGGTCTAATGAAAGCCCAGGATGAGAAAACACAATGAATAAGATAAAAATAAAATAAAATAGATAAGGTTACTTGACTAAAATAGAATAAAATAAATGCCATTTTTAAAAGGTTAAGAAAAGGGCACCGCGGCCCGTGTTACTCCTCATGGCACGCAACGACATCGTGCGGGAAGGGAATACAAACACAAAATGGTTTGTTAATCATATGTCAACCCAACAACTGTACCGTACCAGAAAGAAAAAAAAAATCAAAGTCGTTAAGTGTGAACTTGGGGAAAGGTGGGTCCAACAAGTTCAACTCGCTGCATGATCGCCACCTGGATGGGGCCGAGTCGGCCGTCCACACGTGGATAGTGGGCCAAAGCAACAGAATAACGCGTTAGATTTTATAGCATTCCCAGTTCCAGGCAAGCAACGAGTAGCAGTAGTTCTTCGATTACGGACAGCAGCAGCCCACAACACATCCAGATCCACGATTATTATTATTACTAGAACAGTAAAGATCGCATCCCGTTCATTTCCTGCTGCCATCCCCAGATTTTGAAAATTTCTCACAGCGCATCGAGAAATAATCGTGTTACAGTACAGGATACAAAGAAGTCCCATTGCAAGCTCCAAAAAGGAAGGCTTTTTTTTCCTTTTTCCATCCCGATACGCGGTTTATTTGGAAAGGTCATGTACACATACAAAATATATATTCACATTATTATTATTGTGTGTTCTATGTACATGCATTTAACATCGGCACTTCTTGATTTTTTTGTGTGCAACGTCACGCATCATAAAAGCCAAATGGGAACGGGAACGGATTAGATGAGTGTGTTTGGACAGCCAATTATTTGGTCAAATATATTTGCTGACATCACCATTACAATTTCCAATACACCTTTTTATCTTCTCAATTACCTTTTTATCTCACATACATCATATCACAAAAAGTGCTACAGTAAAAATATTTCAAATACTCCCTCCGTCCCGTTTTGTTAGTCTTGGTTTTTTTTTCCACACAGATTAAGAAAGTGTAATTAATTTGGTTGGAAACATAAATTTAGATTAATAATTTTCTAAAATACCCTTATGCTAATCAATGCAGTCAATGTATTGGAAAAGCTCAATGTATTCAATGTAGTGGGTTAGTATTTAATAACAATGTATTAATAACAAGATATTTAATAAGGGTATTTTAGACAATTTGAAAGATTACTACATTTCTTAATGGGAAAGTGTACTACAATTTGGGACGGACGAAAAAGGAAAACAAGACTAGCAAAGTGGGACGGAGGGAGTAACTTACAATCCAAACACACTCGATACAAGAGGAGGGGAGCAAGCGGAAGCCATAGATGATTCTCACCTACATTTTAAGCAAGGGCGAAAAAAGACTACTCGAGAAATATTTTATGGTTATTAATTATGGTAGTCGTTATAGTTTTTTTTTTCTGTAGTTTATTTCTTTTTGTTACTTTCCCAGTTCATAGTAGCGTGTTTGGATAGTAAATTATTTGAGATAATTTTGTGAATAAAATGCTGTAGCACTTTTTTGAGATAAAAAAAAATGATTGAAAAATGTGTTGACGATGCAAGTAAGTTAGGGTGTGTAAATAAGAAGGTTTAATAATTTACAATCCAAACACACCTAGATCTATTTTTTTTTTTTCTGTTGCTAGTAATATCCGTAATTTCTCTTTTTACTAGTTTTGTACCTAGCTATACATAGGCCTAGTTGTAATACATCTTTTGACAATTGTTATACAATTTTGGCTGGTTATTCCAATTATTCGCAGCCGCGCTCAAAGTTTTCCACACAAGATTCTTTGAATCTTGCTTATAAAGACAAAATCCTTTCGATTCTATATAAGTTCAAAGAAGAATTATGTATATATTTATTGCTTGGAAAAAAAAAGGGATCCATACGGTTACCTAGTTGCAGCACCATCAACGAATAGCAATTTCAAACCTTAACGTTCTTGCTTTTCTTTTCTTAGATCGACTAACAAATGCTACGACTTTCAAGACTGTGGATTTATTACGGGATCAGTTCATTTGGCCTCCGTCGTTGAAAAGAAAACACATAAATGTCCAAATCTATCCCTCCGATATTTACATGTAATTTTCAAGTAATTACTCCCATCATGACTTCATAACAGCCTGGATTCGCAATCTAGTTTTGGTTTATTGTATGCAGCTTAATTATACCACTTTATTCTTTGTAAAAAAAAAAAAAAAAATCTTCTTAATCGCTCATTAAAACTCCCAAATGGTTTTTTTTTTTTTTTTTAAATTTTGTTGGATCCACTACACGAAATAAAACCAGATTGAGGTTCCTAAAAAAGATACACTTGCCTAAAAAAATGAATAGCATTGATCGGAAGATCTTGAAATTAAATATGCTGAAATGGGATATCAATCAACGCCCACGTTACCGATCAAATAAACGTAACGAGTTTGACCAAAGAACAGAAAATGAAAACATTTTTTTAAAGGGAAAAAACTGCTGGCATGCTCATGTATAAAGAGTCCATCTTAAGTTTCAAATCCGTTGATATCGAATACTCGTTTATAATGCCCATCCCTTTTATTTATTTGTTTATTTATTTTTGGGCCTAGTACCATAATAGTTATGAGAATAGACATTATGAGCATAATTTCAAAAAATAGGTGCTAAAGGGAAATTGGATACATACAAGACGCAAGTTATAAAACTCTCTGTTTGTGATGTAATGTACGTGAGATTAAAAGATGATTTGAAAAATAAAAAAAAATATAAATAAAACAAGTGCTTATGATTGAAATACCGTAGCACTTTTTTGATGTGATGTGTGTGAGCTAAAAATGTGATTGAAAAATGTGTCGATAATGCAAGCAAATCAGTGTGCGTAAACAAGACGTACATAATTAATGTGTATACGAAACACACTAACTAGTACTTCGTTAACAGCTAATTAAAGAAGATTTGGCAAATGATTGATCCATAGACAAAGTAGGAAGGAGGAGGACATGTTTTATGTTTGATGCTTTGTGTTTTTGGGTGGCACAAGTCACAACAATTAGGAGGATAGGATAAATTGATGGGCAAATGGGAAGGGAAGCTTAGAGAACAAGAAGGATTAGCACTGGACAACACACAGACGGGATAGACCGCCCGAGGGCCAAGACAGCCCATCCCCGGATCCGTTCACTCGGCGTAAGCGTGACGACAGCAAAGCGCAATATGAACAAATGTGGATGTCCTAAAAATAATTTATTTTAGAAATATATAAATAGAGAGACAGAGTAGAAAGAGTTTCCGCGTAGAGAGATGAGACTGGAGAGTCCCGGGGGGGAAGGATACTACTACTGTGTAAGAGACGAAAAGAAGAAAACCAGGGTGGGGGAAGGGAAAGAAAAAGCCGCTTCTCCCCTAAAATTATTTAACTTTTTTGCCTTTGGTTTCCTTTCATTTTCTCTGATATCTCTGTGCGAATTCTTTCGAGACAAAAGCATCAGCAGAAGCAGAAGCAGCAGCTCCACAGCATCACAACGCTCCCCCTCCCCCCTTCTGACACCTAAGCTTCTTTCAAATCATGATACTAACTCTTTTTCTTTTAACGATTCACACCTCGTATTCACACCCCCTCACCATCCTCCTCCTTGTTTCCGCCTGCCACTAAAATCCTCCCTCCCCTATTCTCCTCCTAAATAACACAAATATTTTTTGATCTTCTCTTTTATGATTCAAGAATCATGACTGCGTTCTTTCCGCGGCGAAAGTGATCGATCCGTCATCACCATCACCTTCTACTCGATCATATATTTTAGTAGCAGTAGCTTTCGATCTTGACCTACTATGGAAAGTCATCAGCATCAACATCATCATCATCAGTATGGCAGCAGCAGCAGCGTTCATATTGACACCGGTGGTGGCGGTGGTGGCGATAGGTTCCCTCAATGGAGTATGCAAGAAACCAGGGATTTCTTGATGATTCGGGCAGAGCTGGATCCTACCTTCATGGAAACCAAGCGGAACAAGCTTCTCTGGGAAGTCATCGCCACCAAAATGAGGGAAAAGGGTTACAATCGCAGCGCTGAGCAGTGCAAATGCAAGTGGAAAAACCTCGTTACCCGATACAAAGTTCGTCCCCCCCATAATGTTCACTGCTAGTATATATTTATTTATCACTACATTCCAGCTTCACAAAATTTTAAAAAAATAAATAAATTCGAGTATTCTTGATCAAGGTCCTCACTCATGACGGACTTACTTCGCCTGCAGATTAAACTTTTTATGTCCGAATAAGCACACATATGCCTCCTTCCTTTTTTTTTTTTTTCTTTCTCATTTTTTGTTTTCGTTCTTCAACAAGTCCTGCTTTTTGAGTTATGACTTGTGTGCTTTTTTACCATTATTCTGACTTTCGCGGTTGACGGGTATCGGGATTCAAAACTATAACCGTGTGCTGATTTCTTTTTCTTTTTTTTTTCCTTACAAAAAAATATATATTTAGGGATGTGAAACCATGGAACCGGAAGGCGTACGACAGCAGTTTCCATTTTATAATGATTTGCAAACAATTTTCGCTGCTAGGATGCAAAGAATGCTATGGATGGAGGCCGAGGGCGGAGCTGGCAGTTCGAAGAAGAAAGCGGCACAGCTTTCCTCGGACGACGAGGATGATAACGACGACAGCGAGGTTGAGAGAGCCCATAAAAAGAAACGGAAGCTTAAAGCGGGTGGCGGTGGCGGAGGTGGAGGGGCGAGTAGTGCTTCTGCATCCGCCGCAGCTGGAGGAAATGTTGTGAATAGTTTGAAGGAAATACTGGATGAATTCATGAAGCAACAGATGCAAATAGAAATGCAATGGATGAAAGCGTACGAGGCAAGAGAAGAGGAGAGAAGGAAAAGGGAGACGGAGTGGAGACAGACGATGGAGGCCTTGGAAAACGAAAGGTTGATGATGGACAAGAGATGGAGAGAGCGGGAAGAGCAAAGAAGGATTAGGGAAGAAGCCAGGGCCGAGAAGAGGGATGCCCTCATCACAGCTCTTTTGAACAAGCTTCAAAGGGAAGACAGGTGAAGAGTCACCTGCTCTAGTCTTTTCTCATTCTTTGATCTTTTGTTGTTCTCGAAAGATGAAGAGCACCCTTGAGAGGTTTGTACTGCTCCATCTAAAAAACTCTCATCTTTGGAAATGAAACATTATGCTTATTAGACATCGTTTATTACTAGGACAAAAATTCAGACCTGCTTTCCTCACCTCCATAAAATGTTTCCCTCAATTTCCTTGGACTGAAATCTTTTCCATTTCCATCTATTACTGGTGCTTATGTTTTTCTGCATCCAAGATATACTACTGACAATCAGTCTTTTCCCTTTCCAACATGAATCAGTAGTTTAAAAGCAGAAAAATATGGTGATATCCATACGCGTCCCGAGCACTTGCAACTATCTGTCAAAATACAATTAGGCTCCTTATGTTATCCCTTGAAATTAACCGATCAAAGGGAGTCAACATTGATGCTTAAGATTCTATTAAGGTCAATGAATGTTGTTGAAGTTTGACGATTGAGGCAGTCCGGGGGCGTGTCAAAGAGATCTGCTCGATGTTGCTCCTGCTCCTTAATTTTCCATTAAAAGTTTTCAAATCTGTGCGTGTTGCAGTTAGAGGTTAGAACATTAAGGCCGACGCATGCATGTCCCTGTCCCACTGCTCCAAGTTTTACACTGGTGAGTCCTTACTTATATCAAGTTCTAGTCTTCTTGACACCCATTAGATCAATGGCCACAACTTAATGTGATTAAAACTATTATAAATGCGGCCGTACAAATAGAATCCAAACTGATTGGCACCCATAAGAATGCCTACCACTGTGATGCCTCGTCTTCCCATGCATCTTGGACATATTTGGCATTGCTTCGGTTTGCTCCAGAAGAATATATACAAAAGATGGCAGATTATAGTCTAATTCTTCTTCGATAAAACTACAAGAGTCTAGCAAATTTGCCGTTTCTTCATCTCTACATACTTTCGTTTTTTTCTTATGACGTTTTGTGTTTGCGTGCGTTTTGTTTTGTTGCCCCCGGGGGGGGGGGGTGTTGGTGGTGTGGAGCGTGGGGTATTTCATCTCTACAACAAAATAGTGAATATCTAAGCTAACGCAAAATTCGAGAATTCTTAAATTACCGCAGAATTTGTGCATGCATGTATCGTAAAAAGATCGCATGCATGCATGCGATCGAGGGTTTGATTAACTGGAATATTTGACAGAAAAAGAAAAAGAAAACAAAGGTGTGCAGCTCTTCCTAATATTTGTGATAGTAAAAAAACACAACACAAATAAAAATGATGTATGTTCCCTGATTATAAGCTCAAATCAACCTTTTGTGCATTAAGATAACGTGCGACCAACGTACACACTAGTATGATCCAGGTCATGAGAGAAATTCGGGCATTTCATCTTCATGGTTTTAACTTGTTTCGAATGTTCTGTAGCATGAGATTTCATTATTGGTAGTAGTATGAAGTTAATGGTATATACTTTTGATGAGCAATGCATAGGCAATTATAATGTTGTTCAATTTTCATGTATAGTTTGGTTACCTGATCTAAGTTGTAGGTCCCTTGGAAGGGCATGGCCTGGTACATATAGCTATCAGTATCAGGTGCCAATATTTCTGTCTCAAGAGATGTGGAACTCACATTTGGTGCTTGTGCTAATCCGCAATATATGGTTCTTGGAGAGAAGTGTTTTTTTTTTTTTTTTTTAACTTTTGCGAGTATGCAGTAATACAGATCATGAAGATATCAGCCTAGCTACACGGTAGTCTTGTGTTTGCTTTAAATTTCATTAGGAGGCTGCAGGTTGGGGATATTTCATACATTTAGACTTCAATTTAGATCCAATATCCATGTATATACCAAAGAATTTGTTAACATGTCTGAGTAGTACTTTGATAAAATTATATGACGGTTTCCCCGGAAGAATTAGTAGACGATGAGGAAGATTTGTGATGATATCTCGTATTAGGGTAGAGAAGTATAGTAGTGCTATGTCTTAATAAAAAGGCTCATAATTTATGTTTAGGAGATGATGCTCCAACCTTGGTGGCATATACCTGAAATAAACGCTACATATGGATTTAAATCGGATTTTATGTGCGTTTAGAACAACTACTAAACATACCTGATAATACTATAGTAGCTCGTCCAAGATTAATAGGAAAAGCTCCACGTCTTGCTAATTCGCATGCTAAGTGAAGTGAGGCCACTTGACATGTTAAATTAAACCAAGTGTAACGCTTATATGTTCACATGAAACTCGTTAATTAGTTCGAGAACAACCGCTAAATATGTCTAGTAATTGCTTCAGACCCACTTAAAATTTTCCTTCTAATTGGTTTTCTAATGATTGGGATTGGACATCCGCACCGTGCATAAAGGTTTAATGCTCCAATTGTTCTTGAGTGGAGTTCCCCATTCTCACTCTACTTAGTACGGGTTCAATCGATTCGTGTGAGCAGCCAAGCGTCTCTGGTTGAGAACTCCCCCTCCTTTCCTTCTTTTAATCGGCAATACGTGTAGTATCTTCTAGTTTAATTCAAGAATTCAAAATTAATTTTATGAATCTTCGGATTCAAAGTGTTTTTTTTTTCTTTTGACGTTTGTACCTTTTTCGAACTGATTGAGCATAATGTTTGACGGCAAAAGTCAAAATTATGCGTTGATGATTTCCCGACGTAGCCAGGGAGAGGGAGTCGAGGTGTGGTTTTCGTGCAAGTAGCACCTGGAAATTCTTCTCCTTGAGATTTTACCGAAAGCTACGGTCAACGGTGGTGACGTCCGGGATGACCTTCAAATTTGCTCTTTTTTTTGTTTGTCATTATTCAACATTAATGGCTAAGTTTTGGTGAAATTTTTGCTTTGACGACAGGTTAGGAATTATTTCATTCGCTTCTCATCGTTTCTTCTTTCCTTTTTCTCTCGACAAGAAGCTAGTGGTTTTGTTGATTGGGCCAGCTGAATGATACGAGGTGGGCTCACACAGGGAAAGTCGGTTATTCTCTGTCTTCTGATGGGAATGCTCAAACATTGGCGAGTGGTTTCCATCCCTAGGCTGCAGGTGCATGGTGCACCTTTCATGACGCGGCCCAGAAGCAAGATCTGGTGGAGGACTACTTTGGGTGGGCCTCTAGTCAATTAAAACCATGCATTCTTCAACTGCGAGTGTTTGATTAGTGGGAGAAACTGATGAAACGGGTGCAAATTAGAGAACGGCGACTAAATCTGTCTTTTGAAAAAGTACGAGGGCTATTTTCATTTTTGAGTGCGTTCCGCCAAATCTATATCCATATGTATCGAAGGGCGGAGGGTTTCTAATTACAAGCCTCCACAATTTCAATCCCTTTTTTCTAGAATTTTATATTTATTTTAATTTGAAATTGTTAGTTACTAGTAATTAAAATATCAGACACAAAACTAATGAAACTAACCAAAAAAAAAAAAAAAACTTGTAAACACGTATAATTGTAAAAGAATTCTTATACAAATGGGTTAAGAACTTAGTCAAATATCCTCATAATAACTAGTATACAAAATTTTAGAGGTATGAGATTAATCCATGCGAAATCTGATATAATTTTTTAAAAATAAAGAAATAGCGATTGTGTTGTGCCTGATACAAAATTATCTCAAATAATTTATTATTCAAACGCACTCGAAGTTAAACTAGAAAAGTTTTCAAAAGCTTTTTCAAAAGAAAAAGGTTTCAATTTATTTTTGGGTTTTTTGAAAGGGGAGGAAAATGGAAGAAACAGATTTCTTTCCAAACACGCTGTCGCTTGTCAAGACGACAGCGTTGGGGGTGGTGTCATGTACTGCTACAGTGACAGTCAAGGACACTTTTTTCACACGATCGGATTCTTTGCACAATTGCACCAAGCCACAAAGTGAAAAGACAAATTTCCCCACCCGCCCCGACTCTCTCAGCCAACTGAACTAAAGTAGCGATTCAGAATTTTCTGACCACACCGTCGCTCTGACCCGTGGGGTTTAGGCCAGCGAGTAGGGAATAAGAAGAAGAAGGCCTCCCCGCCCTTCCTCCGGCGAGCATAGGATATATAGATAGGCTATGATGGACCGGACTCAGCTTCTCCTGGTGGGCCTGCCCCTCTTCCTCCTCTGCTCAGACCTCTTCAATCTCTTCGCACCACCTCCTCCCAAGCCGGCCCACCACGACCACCACCACAACCACCACCATAATTACCAGCCATCCAAAACCCAATCCACGATCCAACAACCATCCCCGGACTTCACCACCCATGTAAGATATCAGAACCCCTCTCTCTCTCTCTCCCCCCCCCCCCCCCCCCACACACACACACACAAAAAAAACAAAATCCTTGAAGAAGAAGAAGAAGAGGAAGAAAGCTTTATTCTTTTTCTGGATTTAATTTTTAATCGAATTTGCAGGCAGCGAGTGGAACTGGAGCCATTGGATTTGGTAACACCGTTAATATTGACTTCTGCGCCTCTTGTTCTTACAGGTTCCTTTTCTACATTTATGATACACCTATGTTCATTTTCTGATTGCTTTGTTGTTTTGGTTGCTGCGGGGATGTTTAGAGTACTACTGCTCTTTATCTGTTTATTTTTTGGGTTACTATCTGTTCACTTGGAAAATTGGGTATAAATTCTGTACTAGAGGAACGTCAGACTTTCTTGAGGGCTTGACAGTTAATGTAGTGTTAAAGGATAAATAGCGCTGGCCTGACTCCTCTTTTATTGCATTAAAGTAAATGAAGATTATTATGTAAGCTTCTTTGACAATTTAGATACCTGATTGCCTTAACCACTGTCTATGTGACTCGAGGCTTCTCCTTTGTCTTCCTTAACAAGTATGCGTCTAGGGAGGTAATCGTGTATACATGTGCATATTGTAGGATTGATTTCGCTGTATCCTAAACTCACTGCAGAGCAGGAGAACGTTGAATGGTTGACTCTTACATGTTATCTACATCTCCTTCTCTTTCATATGGTTACAGTCTACATTAATGTAATGCTTTGTTTCTGCATTTTATTGCACTTGTCACACATCAAATTTTATTTACTCGCTGCTCCCGAGTCACATAGTTTTGAATGAACTTGGCAGAGGAACTGCAGTGACAATGAAGAACATGTTAGAAACTCAATTCCCTGGGATCAATGTTGTTCTTGCTAATTATCCTCCTCCGCTTCCAAAGCGTGTTTTGAGCAAACTGGTTCCTGTTGTTCAGATTGGTGTAATGTCTATTGTATTGGCTGGTGAACATATTTTCCCACGTTTGGGGTATGCAGTACCACCTCCGTGGTACTATTCATTGCGTGCAAATAGGTTTGGAACTATTTCGAGCACTTGGCTCCTCGGAAATTTCCTGCAATCATTCTTGCAGAGTTCTGGTGCTTTTGAAGTATACTGTAATGGAGAAATGGTAATGTCATTTTTCCTTGAATCAACAGCTAAACTTTGTCTCTATCATATTGGGGTTTCTTGTATGAATATGCTTTTTTAAGTTTGCAGTATATATTTGCAAATGAGTCCAAAGTTTATGTTATTGGAGAACTTTCAGAGGGGAGGCTCATGATTTATGTCAATTGGAGCTAAGGCAAAGCAAATTTTACCAGATGAAGATTGTTTATGAAGGACATAAACCCTGTCTTTTATTGCTGATGCGTCTGAGATTGCTGACATGCATACTTTAACCATGCTAAGCATATTAAATGTCCATGAAGCACCTCATAACGTGGATACTGTGTATCAGCTTGGCAGATAGCTAGGCATTAGAGTGAGGAAATTGTGTGTCATTGATACTAAGTGGGGTTGCCTTCTATTGTCCTGTCACTTAAACCTATCTAACCGATTATTTGCTTGTTTGATGCATCCTTTGTGTGCGGTTGATATGAATTTTAGGCTAGGAAAAGAGATAACAAAGAGCAAACTCACTGTGCAGCTAGGG